AAAATCCAGCTGTCTGGCTTCTCAAGCAGTTGATTAATGAAGTTGATAATATTACTTATCGTTTGAAAAGAGTAACGCCAATGTTAAAATTAACACCTCAACAAGAATCTGATCATGAGCAAGCGGAAATTTGTTATATTTTTGAAAAAGCTTTTGACCCTGACAATGTCAGGACTGACAAAAAAGTACATGACCATTGTCATTTGACCGGACAGTACCGTGGAGCGGCTCATAATCAGTGTAATTTAAAATTTCATGCTCCAGATTTTATTCCAGTTATTCTTCACAATTATCGAGGATATGATAGTCACATTATAGTAGAAGCTTTTGGTGATCCTAAAATAATATCTCGTCTAAAACTCGATAACGTCATCAAATGCGTTCCAAATAATTTTGAAAAGTACATGTCAGTTACGCTAGGTAAATTGCGTTTCATTGACAGCCATCAGTTTATGGCAGCCTCGTTAGATGAGCTAGTAAAAGGTTGTAGTAAATTTGATAACCTAAGAGACTGTTTTGGAGATAAATTTAATCTACTAGCTAAAAAAGGGGTATTTCCATATGAATACCTCGACGACTGGAGTAAATTTTATGAAACATCTTTACCTGACAAAGATAAATTTTACTCACAACTTAAAAACGAAAATATAACCGATGACGAGTACAAGTATGCACAAGATATCTGGAAAGAGTTTGATTGTGAGACTTTTGGTGATTATCATGATTTGTATTTGAAAACTGACGTGTTATTACTAGCAGATGTTTTTGAAAGTTTTCGAGAAGTGAGTTATAATAATTACGGACTAGATCCTTGCTGGTATTATTCTGCCCCTGGGCTGTCATGGGATGCTCTGCTAAAGTTTAGTAAGGTAAGGTTAGAATTACTGACTGACGTCGATATGTTCAATTTTATTGAAAAAGGTATCAGAGGCGGTATTAGTGTGATAAAAAATATGCTGAAGCAAACAACAGATATTTGAAACAGTATAATCCTGAGCTCCCTTCGAAGTACATAATTTATTTAGATTCCAACAACTTGTATGGTGGTTCAATGATAGAACTAATGCCTCTTGGTGGATTTCACTGGATCACAGCTGATCAATTTCTATCGGAGACAGAAAGAAAGATACCCAAAATTGTTTCCTATTTCGTTGAAGTTGATCTTGATTATCCAAATTCGCTACACCAATTACATAACGATTATCCTTTCTGAGCGGAATCGATGGTTATAGATTATAGTTTGTTATCAAAAGAACAACAATCGTTAGCATCACTAAGACAACATTCCATGGTCAAGAAACTAGTACCAAATTTACTTGATAAGAAAAATTATGTTTTGCATTACAAAGTTTTAAAACAAGCTGTCGATGCTGGTCTAGTGTTGAGAAAAGTTCATCGTGTACTAAAATTTAAACAGTCGCCGTGGATGAGAGGTTATATTAACTCAAACACTTCAAGAAGGGCTGCAGCGAAAACAGAGTTTGAGAAAAACTTCTTCAAACTGATGAACAATTCCGTTTTTGGTAAGACGATGGAGAATATTAGGAGACGCGTAAATATCGAACTAGTTAATAATGTCAATCGCAGAAACAAACTTGTGTCAGACGATGATTTTGTGAGCATGAAAATATTTAATGAAAATCCTGTTGCAATACAAAGAAGAAAAACAAATCTAAAACTAAACAAGCCGATCTATGTTGTAGCTGCAGTGTTAGATTTATCAAAGTGTCTGATGTACGATTTTCATTATAATTTTGTTAAAATTCAATAGCCGGCCAGTAGATTATCGTTTACTGATAACGATTCGCTCGTATATAAAATCGAATGTAAGGATGTCTATCAGGACATGTACAATAATCGACATCTGTTTGATCTTTCTGATTACCCATGTGAAAGTAAATTTTATGACGACACAAATAAAAAGGTTATTGGTAAGTTTAAAGATGTAATGAACTCGAGCGCTATCAAATACTTTATCGGATTACGCAGTAAAATGTATGCCGTATTGTTAGGCAATAATAAAATAACAAAAAAGCAAAAGGTCTGCCTCGTAATTTTGTTAAAAAGTTTATGAAATTTGATGACTACAAGTATGCGCTTGATGGCGGTGTTAGTTTTATGAAAGCTATGGCAATTCGAGCGAAACATCATAAGCTTGAAACAGATGTCATTATCAAACGTGGATTGTGTAATTTTGATGACAAACGTTATTGCGAAAATGGGGTAGATACATTTGCCCTTGGTTATTGTCAATGTGACTAAAATTTTATCTAAACTTATAAAATAATGTCTGAAAATTTGATAATGACAAATAGCTATAATAGTAACATCAAATATCTAATGATGGACGGTAAACAATTGACAGTTGAATTTAATAATGAAACATCAGGTATATGTTTTAGTGGAACACGTGACAAGCTAAAACTTTCGCTCATCAGATCTGATAATAGCGTGTATTTCAATTATATCGAACAATTGTATCAAAAGTTGCCAGTGGAATTTAAAAACTTTCACAGCCCCATTAGCCAACAAAAATATGCTAAACTCACAATTGATCTCGATCAGTCAAAGGTGTATTATATCGACAAAAAATATCTTCTGAACAAACCAGAAATAAAAGACTTGTTTGAGTCTCGTCGCTGTGTGAGCGGTAAAGTAAAATTTAGTATCTATAATCGTGATAGTGAAGTATTTTTAATATCAACAGTTGAAATATTAATCATTAGTCACGAGGTATAAAATAATATAACTTACCTCTCACATTCATTCTAACGCGTAGTTTAATTTCCGCCTTGTTAACTGAAATCGTCACGTTCTAATGCGTAGTTTAATTTCCACCCTGCACAGCAAACATGTTATCCGATGAAAATCTTGTGGTAGACTGATAATAAAACCCGTCTGTCTTGCCTTCTTTAGAATAATTCGTGAACATTCCACGCATGCTCTGTTCAAACAAATTCGTCACCTCTGTATGATAGAGCTTATCTAGATGAATCATGACCTTCCCACCTGTTGTTTTGTCTGGTTATAAAATACCTGTCTGCACACCCTGTATGACAAGTTTACCTGGATGACTTATTAATTTGACCTTCCCACCTGTTGTTTTGTCTGGTTACAAAATACCTGTCTGCACACCCTGTAGGACAAGCTTACCTGGATGGATGAATTATTAACACCTGTTGTTTTTTGTAAAATACCTTTTATTAACTTACCTGGATGTACACACCTGTTGTTTTGTCTGGTTATAAAATACCTGTCTGCATACCCTGTATGACACGAGCTTACCTGGATGGATGAATTATTAATTTGACCTTCCCACCTGTTGTTTTTTTGTAAAATACCTTTTATTGGATGTACAAGGAATTTTACCTGAGAATATAATTCATGTACATAACTCTCTTACCTGAATTTAATAACACTGTAATAACAGAGAAGGGATGTGTGGTTAGAAACCTTACTAATACTTTTTGAAAAAAGGGGGTGGGGGATAGTTTATACATAGCAGTAAGGGTAAAAACAAGGGTTTGGGCTAAAACGCTTGTTTACTTATACTACTACAAACAATCAAATAAAATAGGAAAGTAATAGGTGGAATAATACAAATCTAATGTTGTTGTTGCTGTTGTTGTTGTAGGGTTTAATGCCATTTTCACCACAAAATAAGCTATATGGCGGCCGGTATAAATGGTGAAGGAAAAACCATGGATCACTCTGTAAAGAATCATCGACCCACTAGAAGCTAATGGCAAGCATTCGCACATGCCCACATTGGTTGAACCCGAGACTCGAACCCAAGTAGACAGATCTGAGATGACAATCATTTGTAACGATGAGCGCTTTAGACCAATTGACCACTAGGGCTTATAATACATATCTGAACAGAGATAAGTAATAGAACAACACAAGGCTGAAATAGTCGGCATGAAAGAATAAACTGGTGATTCCGATCCATTCCAAATCACTGCTTGTGATAGATCAGCATTTCTATATATATATATATATATATATATATATATATATATATATATATATATATATATATATATATATATATATATATATATATATATATATATATATATATATATATATATATATATATATATATATATATATATATATATATAATGTCTGCCTGTCTTTCTGTCTGTATCTCTCTATTAGCGTCTTCGGGACATCAACCGCTTGGTTACGAACTGCATTCTTTTCACCGTGTAGTCGGGTGAGGAGCTTTTTCATTTTCCATTCGAATAAAGTTATATTGCGAATCTCAAATATATATCAAATTCTATTTTTCCTCATCTGGAATCCACCTATATTCCTACACTTTCTGTGCCTGATATCGTATATCGAAATTCAACAGAACTAGATATGGTTATTTTGCACTTAATATATACTCGCTATTCTATTATTGTAAATAGATTTCTTCATTGCGGCTACCGCATTCCAACGGGCAACAACATAATTAGACCTCTTTAGATAATCAATCACACACACTCCTATGGCTAAACAAAATCAATCTCAATTGATCTTTGTCGCGCAGACCATGACAAAATGTAATACGAAATCTCGACAAACGTTTGCAACATTACATTTGCAACAGATACATTGTATTAAAATCTCTTGCATACGGAATTAAGAAAGAAGATTATTTATCTGTAAAACATGTCATCAAACATTTTCAAATAAAACATCTTAGTAATCTACACTGTTACTAAGTAAGATAGGATGCATCATTCTGCTTGATATATTTGATGAATTCAGATGTGCGTTTTATAATTGAATAAATTACACTCAGGACATCTTATTTGTGCAGCAAATATTCTGATTAAAATTAAAACTAACTGCACATTATAATATTGATTTAATAATCTCATCTGGAAAATAAAAGAAATCCCCAAAACGAATCTGAAGAGTATTTGGATTTAAAAAATATAAAATTTAATAGTAAAGGTGTTTCGAAATAGTGTTTTTCGCCAGCAGTCTCAAATAGTTTCAACCGCTCAGGTGGCCTAGTGGTTGATGCGTCCGCCTCTGATGCGGGAGGTCGTGAGTTCGATCCATCAGGCGATTGATACCAAAGACTTACAAAAATGGTACTAACAGCTGCCTCGCTTGGCGCTCGGCATTAAGAGGTTAGTGTTAGGACTGGTCGGCCTGGTGTCAGGATAATGTGATTGGGTGCGATATCATGTTACATGTCTACAGCATGATTCCCCAGTGCTAGACGTCACTATAAACTGCAACACTGCAGACATCGTAGCGATATGACTGAAAAAGTGTTAAAGCTACGTTACAAATCATAATCACATCACATCAAACAGTTTCGATACCTATGCATGTTCAACAAATCACCGAGTTTCCCAGGATATACTCTTTCTATACTACTTGTAGTCTCAAAGCTGCTCAACAAAAGATTACACAAAAGAAATTACCTATGACAAATAGGAAGTAGTTAATCTTCGGGTTATTTCGAAAATCTCAAGAAAGAACAACAGCGTATATTGTATATTGATAAAGAGACTGTCTGTTAGTCTTAGGGTATTTTTTAATCTGGTGAGGCGAGAATAGTACATGTTTTACAAAATGAACATATTTATTTCTGTTGGACTAATCGTCTGTGTGTGTATCGTGATCATAGTATCAGGTACCAGTTGTTCGAACAGATGTGAATGGTTATCTTGGGAAGAATATAGATGCAGTCAAACATGTGGTGGGGGTACATTCTACAGGTCCAGAAGTTTGTGCTGTCCATCAGAATTACAAGTGAATGAATGCTTAACTTACTGTGGTAAAACTTCATCTGGCTTTCATGAATACGGAAACTGTAACGAAATATGTTACAACGGTGGCAATTATTACAGTGGATCATGTCACTGCCTCCCGGAATACGACGGGATATGCTGTTCGGAACGTAAGTATTTGGCAAGTTCAAAAATTTTTGCTCTAAATCACAATGACTGAGGAGGTGAAATAAATCGTACAGATTTATTCCTTTAAAACACGATGGAAATTATTCAGACGTTAGCGATTATCCGTGTTGTACTCTGCAAAGTAGCAAACTAGAGAACATAAAAAACATGGTTTTGTCTAATACATCCTATAACAAATCAATGGTCTTCATCTATGTATCAGAAAGAAGCAAAATGAACAAGCTTAGCAAATTAAAGAGATCATTATATAACACGAATACAAAACGACAACTGCTACGCATATGTAATTTAATTGCTTGTGTGTTAGTTTTAAAAACCACTTTTTATTATACTGAAATCAAGTTGGTTACTTATTCCTTATTCCTTATTCCTGATTCAATAAGGAATAAGTAACCAGTTACCTATTAGGGCAAGCATTGGTGTAATTCTGACCTGACCGGAGAAATACGAGTGTTATATAAAGGTGAATATATACATATCACAGACGATACGTATGAATGGTTTAGGATTTTAATAGGACTACGTGTTTAGTAATTTAATATAGAATTAATTATTTGTGTTAGGCATTTGTGTCGTGTCTTATATGCATGACGTTAGGGATAGTTATTCGGGTTCGAACTTGTTCCTATGAAGGTAGATATGGTTCAAGGAGATTTAAAAATTGATTTAATGGCCTGATGTACCGAGGGAAAAAAGATTCCAGAGTAAATACTATTAGAATAGTAGATTTTCAAGGCGTTAAATATAACCAGTACTTTAAGAAAATATATATAGAATAATAAGGGGCGCCTTAGGGGTACGGGATATGTAAAACGCGCCAATGTGAATTAGATGTATCAATAGTTTGAGCTCATGAAACCCTTACTTAGACAATATTAATTTCAGTACCTCTTGTATATTATCGACATAAGACCCATTTCTTATAGCAGAAAAAGTTTAAAGTAAATTCGTGCAGCCGAATTCGAGAAACTCGTGACAAATATAGGCACGTCGAGAAGAAAACATGCCGTACGATTATATCGAACGTTTACATTTGGGCATTTACGTCCACTTTTTATACATGGACCCTTCATGGATGTTTTATTACTAGAGGATAGCTACGAAGGAAGTCCTGACAATTTCATGGAGACGAATCAAAACAGCCAACTAAGGGGCTTCTTACGGGTACCGGCTATAAAAAACGCGCCAATGTAAATCAGATGCATCAATAGTTTGATCTCATGAAACCCTTACTTAGACAATTTGATTTCAATGCCTCTTGTACAGTATCGACATGTGTCCAATTTCTAAAAGAAGAAAACGTTTAAAGGAAATTCGTCGAGACGATTCCGAGAAACTCATGACTAAATAAGCAAAGTCGAGAAGAAAACATGTCGTACGATTATATCGTACGTTTACATTTGGTCCTTTACGTCCATTCTTCATGGATCCTTCATGGATACTTTATTACTAGGGGATATAGTCCACATACAAAGGAAGTCCTGACGAATTTAGTGTAGACGAAACAGCCAAATGTGTGGCACCTTATTGGTACCAGCTATGAAAAACGCACAAATGTGAATTAGATGTATCAATAGTTTAATCTCATGGAAACCTTACTTTGACAATTTGATTTCAATGCCTCTTGTATAGTATCGAGATACGACGCCACTCTAACAGTAGAAAATGTTTAAAGGAAATTCATCGAGCTTATTTCGAGAAACTCGTGATTAAATAGGCAAGTCGAGAAGAAAACATGCCGTACGATTATATCGTACGTTTACATTTAGGCCATTACGTCCACTCTATATACATGGACCCTTCATGAATATTTTATTCCTAGGGGATATAGTCCACCTGCGAAGGATGTCCAAACGAATTTTGTGCAGTCGAAATAGCCAAAGTAGGGGAGCCTTATGGGTACCGGCCATGAAAAACGCGCCAATGAGAATCATATGTATCAATAGTTTGAGCTCATGGAACCCTTACTTAGACAAATTTGATTTCAATGCCTTCTGAGTTGTATCGACATAAGACCGTTTTCTAAGAGTAGGAAAAGTTTAAAGAAAATGCGTCGAGCCGATTTCGAGAAACTCGTGACTAAATAAGGCAAGTAGAAAAGAAAACGTGCCGTACGATTATATCATACGTTTACATTTGGGCAATTACATCCAATCTTTATACATTAACCCTTCGTGGATATTTTATTATTAGGAGATATAATCCACCTACGAAGGAAATCCAGGTATATCAATAGTTTGATCTCATAGAACCCTTACTTAGCCAATGTTGATTTCAATGCCTCTTGTAAATTATCGACATAAGACCCATTTCTAACAGCAGAAAAAGTTTAAAGAAAATTCGTCGAGCCGATTTCGAGAAACTCGTGACTACATAAGGCAAGTCGAGAAGATAACATGCCGTACGATTATATCGTACGTTTACATTTGGGCCATTATGTCCAATCCTTATACATGGACCATTCGTGGATATTTTATTACAAGGGTATAGACTCCACCTACGAAGGAAGTCCTGACGAATTTCATAGAGAAGAAAAAGCCAAATAAGGGGTGCCTTATGGGTACCGGCCATGACAAACGCGGAAATGTGAATCAGATATATCAATAGTTTGAGCTCATGGAACCCTTACTTAGTCAATTTTTTTTATTTCAATGTCTTTGTACAGTATCGACATATGTCCCATTTCTAACAGTAGTAAAAGTGTAAAGGAAATTCGTCAAGCCGATTTCGAAAAACTCTTGACTAAATAGGCAAGTCAAGAAATTAATATGCCGTACGATTTTATCGTACTTTTACACTTGGGCCATTACGTTCACTCTTTATACATGAACCATTCGTGGATATTTTATTACTATGGTATAGTCCATCTACGAAGGAAGTCCTGACGAATTTCGTGGAGATGAAACAGTTAAAAAAAGGGGCGCCTTAGGGGTACCGGCTCTTAAATACTCACACATGTGAATCAGACGTATCAATAGTTTGAGCTCATGGAACCCTTACTTAGACAATTTTGATTTCAATACCTCTTGCATAGTTTCGACATAAGACGCCTTTTTAACAGCATAAAAAGTTTAAAGGAAATTCGTCTAGCCGATTTCGAGAAACTCGTGACTAAATAAGGCAAGTCGAGAAGAAAACGTGCCGTACGATTATATCGTACGTTTACATTTGGGCCATTGCGTGCACTTTTTATACATAGACCCTTCATGGATAATTTATTACTAGGGGATTAAGTACACCTACGAAGGAAGTCCTGACGAATTTCTTGGAGACGAAACAGCCAAATCAGGGGCACCTTACGGGTTCCCGCTATGAAAAACGCGCCAATGTGAATTATATGTATCAATAGTTTGAGCTCATGAAACCATTACTTGGACAATTTGATTTCATTGCATCTTTTATAGCATCGAGATAAGTCCGTTTAAAACAGTAGAAAAAGTTTAAAGGAAATTCGTCTAGCCAATTTTGAGAAACTCGTGACTAAATAAGGCAAGTGGAGAAGAAAACATGCCGTACGATAATATCGTACGTTTTCATTTGGTCCATTACGTCCATTCTTTATACATGGAAAATTCGTGGATATTTATTTACTAGGAGATAAAAGTTCACATCCGAAGGAAGTTCTGACGAATGTCGTGGAGACGAAACAGCCAAAAAATTGGCGCCTTAGGGCTACCGGCTATGAAAAACGCGCAAATGTGAATCAGATGTATCAATAGTTTGAGCTCATGGAACCCTACTTAGACAACTTTGATTTCAATACCTCTTGTATAGTATCGACATAATTCCCCTTTCTAACAGTAGAAAAAGTATAAAGGAAATTCTTCGAGCCGATTTCGAAAAACTGGGGACTAAAAAAGGCAGGTCGAGAAGATAATATGCTGTACGATTATATCGTACGTTTACAATTGGGCCATTACATCCACTCTTTATACATGGACCCTTCGTGGATATTTTACTACTAGGAGATAGAGTACACATTCGAACAAAGTCCTGATGATTTTCATGGAGACGAAACAGCCAAATAAGGTGCGCCTTAGGGGTACCGGCTGCGAAAAACGCGCCAATATGAATAAGATATATCAATAGTTTGAGCTCATGGAACCCTTACTTAAACAAATTTGATTTAAATGTATCTTGTG